AAAGAAAGAGAAGGCAGTAAAACTTCATCCCACACTCCGAGGAGAGCAGTTTCTCAGCGACTGTTACTGTAAGAACTAGAAGGGAGGAGGCAGGAATTTTCTCATGGATCAAGACGCCTGTCTGGAGGCTTTGTATTCCAACACCTGCGGCACTGACATCCTTGTAAGCCTTAGCTGTTAACAGCTGGTGGGGAGCAGCCAGGGACTTCGGCTGTAACCAAGTCGGGCTGACTTAGCTACTGCGTGGAAGTGGTTAGCTACTGACCTGGACTGATGTCCCTTCAGCACGCTGTCACCTGGGCTGAGCACACTGCGGGTGGAAGAACAGTACACACGGCCACATCTGGGAGCATCTGAGCACCTGGGAGACCTCTCTGAAGTTAGCATTTTGGCACCTGGGAGACCTCTTTGAAGTTAGCATTTTGGCATCCGGGAGACCTCTCTGAAGTTAGCATTTCAGCCTCCACCACCTCACTGGTGTTGGGTGAGAGCTGTTTGATTCCTTTAGCTTGACTGAGTTTCATTATTTTTATTTTATTTTAATTTTTAAAAAATCATATATTTGGCCAGGTGTGGTAGTGCACGCCTTTAATCCCAGCACTCAGGAGGCAGAGGCAGGTAGATCTCAGTGAGTTCAAACCCAGCCTAGTCTGCCAAGTGAGTTCCAGGACAGCCAGGACTATTACACAGAGAAACCCTGTCTCAAAAAACCACACACACACACACACACACACACACACACACACACACACACACACACACAATCATATATTTGATGTGTGTGTGCGCTTGTGTGTATGCGTGCAGGCACATGTGTGCTACAGTGTGTGTGCAGAGGAGGAGAGGGGATAACCTTGGCTATTGGTCTCAGCCCTCCACCTTGTTTGAGGCAGGTTCTCGTTGGGTGTACCGTGCACCAGGCTAGCTGGCCCTCCAGCCTGCCTGCTCTCCTCCTCTCCCGTCTCTGCCCCCCATTTCCCTGCAGGAGTTAGGAGGACAGCTGCTCAGGCTGCCACACTGAGCCACACTTGGACTCTGGAGTTTTGGACTCGGGTCTTCAGGCTTTCATGGTGAGTGCTTTGCTCCCTGAGCCTCAGTTTTATTATGTTTAATGATTCTTTTAAAAATGATTTCCCCCCTTTGGCTCTCCAGGTATGAGAGAAGGGCCGGAGGGTGTCAGGTAGCGTTACGCATCTTAGAGTAAGGCTTTGGACTTTCTTTCAGCCATTCAAAGCGTATTCTGTTGTCTTGGTTTTTGTGATAGGACAAAGAAGAAAAAGGCTTTTCATTCCAGATCATAGCAAACGTGGGTGGGAAGCCTCCTGAGTTGTTTTCTAGTTTTCTACAACCTGGCAAGAATGAAGCCAGGGAGACAAACATTTGAGAGTGATGTGTAGCTTAAAGAATGTTTACCCAACCCAGGTAAGAATCATTTGCCAATAAAAGGAACCCCCCAGCCCGTCCCCATCGCCATGTCACCCTGAAGAAGGTCAAGTGGCCTTATGCACTCACTAATTCCCTGCATTCCTGATTAAGAGGCACAGGGGTGGGCAAAGTCACTGCTGTCACAGCAGCTGGTGGCCAGGAGATTAGGACCAGAGGCCACCAGGGATAATTCAAACACTCCAGTCCTCCTTTTAAAGGCTGAGAAACAGAGCCTTAAGACGTCGTCCCTTCTGGATACAATTTTAAAAATGAAGCTGTCAGGTAGATTAAAGCCTAGTGCCATTTAAGATGTGGGATTTCCATAGCATGTTCTGGTCCATCACACCTGTCTCACGCTAGCCTGGTGAGCCTTCTCTTCCGAAGGCAGACCCCCTGCTCCAGCGCAGCTTCCGATTGCCAGGGACTCTTGGGCCTGCAGCCCACCTTCTGGCTACAACTTTCCTCATGTGTGAAGTATGGGTCAGAGTTTGGGAGCTGGTCCATGGTTCCTCCCTCACCACCTCCTGGGGAACTCTGAGCAGGTAAGAAAAATAGTGTGACCCCCATTTTACAAATTTGCAGCTGAGGCTCACTGAGGAGAAGAATCTTGGAGTTTCTGAGTGAGTCTGAATGCCGTAACTCCTCAATTCCTCACATGTTCATACTCCAGACACAATGTGTGCTTGTCAAAGGTTCACTGTGGGAAAGGGCCATGGGTCCTGAATTGGCAGCTCAGGGACATGTGCCAATCCCTTCCCCCACCCTCCCCCACCCATAACGCTCAGGTGCTCTCTGGTAGTGGTTTGAAAGGCTGCCTTATTGATGCGGTGTAAATATGGGCCCCACAGCACTTAGACAAGATGCCACCAGCAGATAGAAATGAGCCTTGAAGGGCAAGGATGCACATCTCTCTTAGGCACTGCAGCAAAGATCCAGCTGTTGGAGTCCCCCATGAAAGGCCTGAGCTGAGAAGAAATCTCATGGGACATGTCAACCACAGCATCATCAGTGTAAAAGATGAGAGGGCCTGTTCCAGCCATCAGTCACCTGTACCCCGACATGGCTCCTCCTCTTCTGTGACCTCAGATTGCTTGCATCCCTGTCTCGACCTGTTGACATCCTTCTGGCCCCTCTACTCATCTACAGCATAGGCACCATGTGTGAGGAGTAGGCGTGTAGGACAAGCCTTTTGATGGCCTCCGTCGTGGAAATGTGCACCTTGTGTACCAAAAGAGCCGAGGGTGAGGCCTGTTGTGAGACATCAAGTTTGACTGAGGCTTCCATAACAGCAACTATGCTAGAAAATTCTTCGGTAATCATGTGCTTAGATGAGGTCGTCTTTTAGATGAGGAATCTGAGGCTGTCTTTCAGGAAACTCTAAGGACTTAGAGAAAGCAAAAAACGTGTGACAGGCTTCATTAGCCCCCCACTTGGGCACATATTCATCTGTAATGATGTTAAATGACAAAGGACATGCTTCTCAGGGTGAAATGTGTTTGTCTTTAAAGAAGATACTAGAATATGGTTTCTTCCTTGCTAGTCTCCAGCTGCTAACAAATTTCTACCGGAATCTCAGATAGTCTTGGTTAGAACACTTCTTTTAATTTCACTCTAGCTTTTTTTTTTTTTTTTAAATCTCTCCTCCCCAGATGTAAGCCTGAACCACCCGTCAGAATCATCGCTGTCTTTGAGAGTTCTACTTTCCCAAGGGAAAGACAGACAAGAAAATGCACGTCGCCTCCCGCAGCAAATCCCTCTTGTCTTGTAGAGCCTCAGAAAGGCGAATCAGCTGTCGTCATCAGGTCTTTGTCGTCTGGCAAAGTGTGAAAGGGGTGAAGCCGAAAGACAGACCAGAACACCTGTGGCCATTATGAAAGCCAAAGCCACCTCCCAGGCCTGCGTGCTTTTCCCTCTGAACACTCAGCACCTGCCGGCTGAGGCTGGAAACCAGCTACGAGGCCTTGCATGGGCTCCGAGCGGTTGACTGAGGAATTAGGAGGATTTTGTAATAAGCCCATCCATTCTGCTGCATTCGAGTGTCTTCTGACTCCATGCAGCCCAGGAGAGCTGCACTTTAACCCTGTGTGCGTGTCTGGGAGGGGGGCAAAGCTTGCGTAGACAGTGGAAGAGCCAGAGACCCAGACCCCAGACAGGGATCGGGCTCCAAAGCTGTCACTTGTCAGCTGAAATGGACCTTGTCAATCACAGAAGCCCCCTGGGTCTCAGCTACCACATCTGTACAGGTTCTCATCAGGACCACTGAAGACCAGGTTTTTTTAGTTTGGGTTTCTTTTTTGTTTTGTTTTAATTTTTAGTTATGTGTCTGTTGTGGGTCTGTGCACACAAATGCAAGTACCCAGGCCAGAAGAGTGCATCTGATCCCCACAGAAGTAGCTGTCAGCTGCCCAGCACAGGTGTGCTCTGTAAGAGCATCAGGCACCCGAGCTGCTGAGCCGTCTCTCCAGCCCAGACAACAAGTGTTTCAGCCACAAGCTCAACGTCAATTGCTTATGTTATGACCAATTGGGAGAAAAGGAAAAGCAAGACTTGGTGATGGCACCACTCGTATAGATTTTCTCTGTGTCGTGGAGATTGAAATTCCCCATTCCTCCTAACCTTGGCTCTTCAACTTACAGTGATTCCCAGAGAGACCTCATAGTGCCCTCGTAAGAGGAGCTTAATCAGGACCCAAGTGGATTTAAGACGGGAACAGGCCTGCACTGGGGGCAAGCTCCTACCTCGTGGACACTTAGGGTCATCACAGAACAGCTTGTGTGCCTGTGCCGTTCATGCGGGACCTTATGACCACTCCTCCTGCATCTCAGATACTTGATGTTACTGGCACCTCTTGGAAGGTGGTCTCACATCTTAAGTTATTCCCTACTCCCTTTAGGAGCTACAGAGTTGGCTCCCCAGTGAACAGCACTTACTGCTCTTACAGAGGACCCAGATTTGGTTCCCAGGACCCACATCAGACATCTCACAACCACCTTTATTCCAGTTCTAGGGTATCTGACGCGCTCTTCTGGCCCCCTTGGGTACCTGCATGCACATGGTGCACACACGCTGGGCATACACCTACACATAAGAAAGAAGTAAATCTTTTAAAAATTGTTTTCTTGGCTTACACAATCATTACATATAAAAACCAATGTAAAATGCTGCTGCTGAAATGTTGAATCAGTAAATATATAACATTACAAAGTCAGATTTTTTTTTTTTTTTTTTTTTTTTTTTTTTTGGTTTTTCGAGACAGGGTTTCTCTGTGTAGCTTTGCGCCTTTCCTGGAACTCACTTGGTAGCCCAGGCTGGCCTCAAACTCACAGAGATCCGCCGGCCTCTGCCTCCCGAGTGCTGGGATTAAAGGCGTGCGCCACCACCGCCCGGCACAAAGTCAGATTTTAACTATGTAAAAACTGTATACACATAAGAAAGACTGATGAAAATAATTGTAGTGTTTTTTTGTGGGGGGAATAGATAATAGATTTTTCTGCTTTTCTATATTTTTCTAAAAACTTGAAAGGGCTCATACTGAAAGATTCCAATTTGAAAGATTTTAATGGTCCAATGGAAAATCCACTTATGTATATTGGTGAAAATTGCATTTAACAATGTTATAAAAGTCAATAAAGATAATATCAAGAAGTTAAAAAATAGATTATAAAGATAATAATAACAACACATATAAGGATAATAATAAAAATTAAGATGTGGTTCATAAAGATTCCAAGCCTGAGCCATTCAAGAGTGCATTACATTGAAAATATATTAACAAAAGTTTTCTTACACAATAAAGACATCTCACAACCTATTTTATAATTTAACAACACAACACAGGGCCTGGAGGGAGGGTTCATCAGTCAAGAGCTCTGGCTGCTCTGACCCAGGTTTGGTTCCCAACATGGTTGGGTACAACTGTCTGTAACTCTAGTTCCAGAGGCTCTGACGCCCCCTTCTGGCCTTTGCAGGCACTGCATGCATGTGATGCACAGACATACAGACAAAACACTGAGACACATAAAATCAAAATGCATCCCGAAGAACGTGTTAATGATTTAAAATATTGCAGATGTCACTAGTTAGTGTGTATTATAAAAAAAATGCATTTCCATCCCCCTACCCCCGGAGATAGACTCTCACTCTGTAGGCCAGGCCAGCTGGGACTCACTGTGTAGCCTCGGCTAGGTTCAAACTCACAACAGTTTTCAGGCCCCAGCCTCCCAGTACGGGGATTACAGATGTAAGCCACCCAGCTAGCTTGGACATAAATGCACGTTCTACAGTGGCACCACCCCAAACTAAGTTCCCAGGGAAGGTTGTCTCTAAGAAGTCGTGAACGTCACCTGAGAAAAGGTTCAATGGTCAGATGCACCCGGTAAACTCTAAAAAGCACTCAACAGGCCCATCCTTGTAACTTTGTGGAGTCTCAGATAAATGACTTGTCATGGTCAGTCTCTAAGAGTGGTGTGCAATTTGTAGCCTCTGCTTGAAGCATTTAGCAGAAACACCTTCATCCGATAGAGGAGACTCGTGTAGGGTGCCCAGAGTCACAGACATGCAGAGACGTTTCCCATGTTTTCAATTTTTCGTTTCACGGCTGTGAAGCAAAGAGTGTATCTATCTGTTGTAACAAAGGGGGTATTTAATGACTTTGAAACACGTGCACAGAGCCCAGTAAACCATTTCAACCAGTCACGTTACACAGAACCCAAGCCCAGTTCCCACCCTTGGGCTGTGTCTCATCCTGAGCCTTTCCCTTGCGGGAACTGAGGCACCAAAAGACCAGACAGAAAGGACTTTTGAGCTTCATGGAAGGTTCTAGGCTTGGCTCTCCTTTATAAGGTGGCTTAGGAATGATATGAAACCCTGTAACTCCCCCTTGCATCCCCCACCCCCATACGCACACCCTTTGCTGGCATGCGAAGCGTGCTCAGGAAGGGGGGGAAATCCCAAGCCACAAAACCCACATTCCTTTTAAGGGCTGTCTGTGTACACACCTTGGACCTTTGACTCCATCTCCCTGGGGAGCAAGGGATTTGGAGGCCTTGTGTGTGTGTGGGGGGCTGTTGCTGTGTGTGTGTGGAGGTTGTTGCTGTGGGGGGGGAAGGGGGACTGTAATGGCTCTTACACATTCCCACTCTGTGAGTCTCCCATTCTGGGAGCTCGTTCAGCTTTTGCCTTTTGGGGATTCTGTTTCTTTATCTCCAAAACTGGGCTGGTGAGCCCCAAGTCTGGGCTAACCTCATAGAACGCAGGACAAAATGGTCCCCCTTATCCGTGGGTTAGCCAGCCTTTGCCATCTCACCAAACATAGCATCCATTCATCCTAAAAACCCACAACATGACGAATGTGATTAAAGAAAAATTCAGAGAGCTAATGTTCACATGAAGAGTTCTTATAAAAAATAAGGGGGCTGGAGAGATGGCTCAGCAGTTAAGAGCACTGGCTGTTCTTCCAGAGGACCCAGGTTCAGTTCCCAGCACCCACATGGCAGCTCACAACTGTCTGTAACTCCAGTTTCTAGGGTACTAAAACACCAAAGTACATAAAATAAATAAATTGTTTAAAAAATTTTAAAATAAATAAATAATAAAAAAATAAGCCAGGCTTAATGCTCAAGCCTGTAATCACAGCTACTGGGGAGGCTGGGGCAGAATGATTGCAAGTTCAAAGTCAGCCTGAGCAACTTAGTGAGACCCTGTTTCAAAATAAAACATACAAAAAGGACTGGGTATATGGCTCAGTGATAGAGTGCTTGCACAGTGTATATGAGATCTCGGGTTCAACCCCTCTTATCATGAAAGTAAATAAATAATAAGCCATTACAACAATCGGCAAAAGTCAAGAATGTATCTTCAGAAGAAACAATACAAAAGGTTAATAAATGTATTCTGGGGCAAATTTTTGGGATTGAACCCAGCCTGGTGCATGTCAGGGGAGCACTCTACTGCTGAGCCACACTCCCACACCCTCAGCCCTGTGCTTTTATGTTTATGCTCATTTTGAGGGTTATTAGACCCCCCTCTAGATGGTGTTATCTAACATTAATGGTAAAGCTTGACTTTACTGTGTCATATTCTGAGACAGGTACTCAGCCTTACGAAAATACCAGATGTCGATGGCAAAGAACTCCTGCCTATAGGAATGTGGTTCAAACCATGGCTTCCTCACCATGCAATGATGTGCTACTAAAATAGATGTGGTAGTTCAGAATGCAGAGCAATTGGAACTCATACGCTGGAGATAAAAGGTAAATTAAGGGAGCCAGTTTTTGGAGATCATTGGCTTTTACTGCCAAACCTAAACATATGCATTGACTGTGACTTAGCAATTGTATTCCTAAGCACGTGATTCACATAACATGTGCATTCACCAAAAGACATTGAAGAAATGTTTACGCCAGCTAAAATGGCCCAAATCTGGAAAGAGCCCACGTGTCCATCAACAGTAGAATCAATAAAGAAATTGTGATGTATTTATACAGAGGTTTGCCATATATGGCAACGAGAGTAAATATGTTATTACATATAAATAAGTTATTATATGTAACCTGAATGAATTTCACTCATCTACTGCCGAGTGAAAGAATAAACATAAAAGGAGGGCCCAGGGAGCGGTGCCAGTTCAGAAAGCCCGAGGAGCTGAATTCAGTCCTGGAACCCTCTGAAAGGTGGAAGCCAAGAACGGACACCACAAAAATTGTCTTTTGTCCTCCACATGCATGCCATGGCTAGTGCACACACACACACACACACACACACACACACACACACACACGCACGCACGCACGCACGCACGCACGCACGCATGCATGCATGTACTCACATATGCACAATACTAATAAAATAAACTTTAAAACCCACAACTGTTGTACAGTCCACTGTATAATGTTTCAGTAACAGGAAAAAAAAACAGAAATTAGAAGTTGTGCCTGGATTACTTTGAGGGGAGGAAATTCCATAAGAAGGAGACGGTCCACAGCAGGTTCTGAGGCACTGGAAACGGTCTCTTCTCCATTGGCGCTGGCTGTGAAAGTCGAGCCAGTGTGCAACCGTGCTGGGGGCTTTACTCGCTCAGCCTGGCACATTTCCACTTATGCTCTGCTTCAGCCAAAAGTCTGTAAAAATGACATAGGAGAAGCATTTGAATGACATGGGAAGACAAGCTGTCAGGTTGTAGAATGTAGGTTGATGTAGATACAGAGGGTATGGACAGAATGCCCGCAGCTCTTCCTGTAAGGGAGCCTCATAAGCATATGCACCACATCTTTACACGTGGTATACTTCTGTATAACATCCAGATGCATAATGCCTCCTGTATAGCATCTTTAGGGCAATCTGTAAGTCACGGTAAAAGTGACTGATTCAGAGAACGGAGAGACAGGGAGAATTTTCACTTGATTTTTTTTGTATCTCATGAGGTCTTAATTGGGTATACATGCTCGCAACTTGATGCATAAACAAATAAATCAGATTAGAAAACAATTTATTTTGTGAAAATAAAGTAGTAGTGATGTTAACATAAAATGCTAGCCATGTAATCCTCCAGGCGATGAGATCATGGTTCAGTTTCATTTCCTGTTTTGTAAACCATCTGTATTTTTGCTGTCTTCTACTGTGATTTTTTTTTCAGGGCTTGGGGCCCAGGGTATTTTTTAAAAACAACCCCTCTATGGCTGAGGTACACCCCTAGCCAACACACTATTCTTCTGAGAATAAGAAAAGTCATAGTTTGTTTGCAATTCAGTTTAAAAAAAAAATCAAAGATATGGAGGTGAAATTTGCACAGTGTAAAATGAGGGAATCCAAATCTAAAGAGAGCGTTGAGCTCGTCTTACAAGGATATGTACACACCAGTTGTCACTCAGTCAGGACACGGAATGGCTCAACCCCCCAGAAAGTCCCCCCACACCCCTTTGCAATCAAGCCTTCTCTGCTAATCAGGCAGCAGCCAGTCACCGAGTTTTGGTACCCCAGCTTAATTTTGCCAGCTTTAGAAATTCCCAGAAATGGAAACTATGAGATATGTATTCATTTATTTATGCATCAAATCCAATGAGGTTAAGACCTCATGAGATATGAAAGACTTTTCACCCAAAACAATGTTTTTGAAATTCATGTTTTCATATCAATAATTCATCATATGTACATATACATATATACAGACACACATATAGTGTATGTGTGTTACGAATGGGGATTAAGGTCTCAAGCTCCCTGCTTTCTGATCAGCCCAGTGAGACAGCGTCGCAGCTCTGCGCAGCCTCAGGAGCCGGGCGGGTTCTCTGGCAGCGCGAGGACCCGCGCTTCCCCCTCCGCTGGCGGCAGCGCCTGTCTCAGGTGAGAGCCACCCTGCTCGCTGCCATTGTTCTGCGAGTGACAGCCTCCCGGGCAAAAGCAGAGCTGTCAACCTGAGGGCTGTCAACTGCACACAAGAATTCCTTTCTTTGTCAGGCTGGGTGGTCTCGGTGGCTGCAGCGGCAACCTGCACAAAAGGTTTAGGAGAGCATCGTGCTCCTGCAGGAAAACATGCCGCCACCCAGGTCTCTGAGAGAACCTTTATGTGAGATCGGGATGAGCCCTTGCGCCCTTCCCTGGACCAGGACCAAATCACCCGCGCAGCCCGGGTGAGGGCCCTCCCCTCCCCGACCTCAGCACCTGGATGCTGCCTGGCATTGATTTCTACCAGATCCTTGGTGATGGACAGTTGGAAGTCTCCTAGAGGTACCTGGCTGGCCTCACTCACCATCTTGGTCTCCAAGAAGGGAAGGGGGTCAGACGGAGATTGTCATTGCCAAGGTCAAATAGACCCCCAATTCTGTCCAGGACAAGAAGCCAAGTGCAGACGTTTTCCTCTTTGACGTGCTGTTTGCGCTACTCCCGATCTGCCTTTGTTAGATGATGGCTCCCAAGTACGGCGTAAAGTACAATTTATAACTTTGCAGCCACTAGGAATGTGCTCGCTCGATGGGTCTCGTTTTGTTTAGTTTGGTGCCCTCTACTGGCTACGGGTGACAACAACCGTTGCACCTACCGCCAGGGCCTTGAATATGCATGGTTATTTCTGAAGCAGAAGAACAAGCCTGTGGGTAATTTCATCCCCGTTTTATAGGTGAAGAAATTGAGGCTCATGGAGAAGACATAACCTGCCCAACTGACTGAGCTTGGTTGTAACTCAGAGCTAATGGGATTCCATGTCCCCCTGCCTCTTAGTGTCTGTAGCACTTTCTCTTTAAGTGCCTATACATGCCTCAACTACCCTTAGTCATACCAGGGGAGACTGCTGCTGTGACAGAGATGTGTTCAGGACACAAGGCCAGCCAAGCCCGTGCTCACTGCTCGGGGCTCTGGGCCACTGCCCAAGAAAGCCACAAGGTCCCCTAGGAAGCATCTTTTCTGGGCCACTTTCAACCAGAGTGAAAATAAGGAGGTGGTGTGTTCCCACCCAGGGGGAGGGGACTACATCCGGGTGCCCTCTGCTCCAGGCTGTAGGAGGCAAGGGTTCACCAGAAATAACCAGAGAGAAGAAGATATATTCCTTCCTCCCGGGGAGCTCACATGACCCCTACTGGAGTCAGCAGATGTTGTGCAAGTAAGCCTCGGGGTCAACGGGCGAATGAACGAATGGGTGAATTAATGAATGGCTCAACTGCTGAGCAGTGCAGGCCAGGGGTCGGGAGATGGTTTATGACAGGGAACTTGCTCTTGATGGAAGTGAAGGGTCTGTTTCTGTTAGCTCAAGCAGTCTGCAGGTAGAGAAGGCTGTGTCCTAAGCCTGAGCTCCACGTGCCGGGCTAGGTGAGCAGAGCTGAGAGGACCGCGGAGGAGACGCTGGGCAGGGACAGGACAGCACACGTTTCTTACCTGTGGTGTCGACCATTGGAGACCGAAGGTTTCACACATAACCCTGCGTTTTTAGCTCCTCTTTAACAAAGTGCAGGCCGTGGCCTCAGTGGGCCTGCTCCAGCCTGTCACTGCTGCTTGCTGCCTCCTCCTTATTGTCCCCTTAAACTGAAGATGACTGGCAGGTACCATTTCACCTTGAGCATATGCTATTTTTCTTTTCATGAAACAAAAACAATAGCCAGGCATGGTGGCATACACCTGTAATCCTAGCTGCTCGGGAGGGTGGGGCAGGAGGGCAGAAAGTTCAAAGCCAGTCTAAGCAACCTCACAAGACCTTGCCTTAAAGTGAAATTCCCTAAAAGGGGTCTGAGTGGGAGTAGGGATGTAGTTTGGTGGAGATGCCCCAGCCAGCACACCCAAGGTCTTGGGTTCTGATCCCACCCCTGCAAACACAAAGAATCAACAAACCTAAAGCCATTTTTCTTACCAGGTATTCATCAGAGAGAACTCAAGAGACAGGAGCCATGTAATTTAAGAAAGAGAGGACATTTCGTGAAAAATTAAAACTGGAGGGCTGGGGAGATGGCCCAGCCAGTTAGAAATGCATGGTATGCAAGCCTGGATACCTGAGTTTGAACCCTAGAGCCTATAGTGGAAAACCAAGTCCTCAAAGTTGCCTCTGACTTCCACATGTGTATGCATGAACACACACACACACACACACACACACACACACACACACACACACACACACCACACATACACATATGCACACTCATACTAATAGTAATAAGAAGATAAAAATAAATAGAGCTGTAACAACTACAACATCATGCGGTCATACAGCAATCCCACTGGGTATATAGTAGATGTCTAGTGTTCCGACCATGAAGAAGCATGCAGATCATATGGATGTTAATTGGTTTAGTCATTCCACAACATCCAGGGTCTTACTATGGCACCCAGGCTCTCCTGGAACTCAGGGCAATCCTCCTACTTCAGCCTCCCAGGTGCTGGGATTACAGTGTTAGTCATCATGCCCAGTTCAAAATAAATAAAAACCGTACAGGGAGGGGCTGGGCATGTGGCCGTTTGCAGCGTGCTGGCCACAAATGCTCAAAGCCCTAGGTTTGATTCCTAGCATCACACAAACCAGACATGGTGGTACATGTCCCTGATTCTTGGGAGGTTGATGTAGGAGGATCTGAAGTTTGAGGCTACTCTTGGCTATATGTTAAGCTTGAGGTCAGTCTGGGATACATAAAAAGGAAAACAAAGACAAAACACAAGTTTGAGGAAATGAAAAACTTCCAAATAATTGAAAGATAAATGCCCAACTTCCCTAAGCTGCTTGCTGTTGAGTCTGAAATGTCTCAGACAGGTGGATGTATTCAACATTTCATCCCCAGCAGGAGGGAACTTTATAGGGCAGGGCCTAGCTGGAGGAAGCAGGTCACCACGGGTGTGCCTTTGGAAGTATATGCGGTACTGGGATGGACTGCAACTTTTGACACTGGGGGCCGAAGAAGTGATTCCAACCTCCTTACATTGTTTGTACCAGGTGCTTCTGACACAGCGACAGAAAATCTAACACAGCTTCCTGCCAGCCTGAGCCCAGTTCCTTGCAGAGGAGTCAAGTGGCGTCTTTGAGATCTCCTTGTTCATTCAGATCAGACTCTCACTCGGTTGCCGCTTCTGTCTTTAACATCTGAGAACTGTGGCTGCTGGAGGCGGATATGAACGTGGCCATGACATAACCAGCATCTGGGAGCTCACACTGCCTGTGGCCACAAAGGCCGAGCAGAGACAGCAGCTGAATCTGGGAAGCAAGCTTTAGTTCAGAGAGCAGATAATCCCTGAAGGTAGCAGATTAACATCTTAAATTTGATCACATTTACTTGCTTATTTGTGCATGCATGGATGAGAGTGTGTGTGCATGTGCCAGGTGGGTCCCAGGGATTGAGTTCAGATCATCAGGCTCGACAGCAAGCACCTTGACCTGCTGAGCCATCTCGATGGCCCCAGATTACCAACTTAAAAAGCAAGCAAGCAAACAAAAACCTGCTTCCCTTCCCATCTCCACCCAGGAAGCTTTGTAAGGACTGAAAGCGGGGTGGGAACAAAGGCTGTCAGTCACTCCAGAGCTCAGTCTTCCCCTCTGGACAGTCACACTTTGGAGGCAATATCTGTGACTCTTTCAGTATTGTCCTTTGTATCCATGTATGCTTTCTTAGTTCCGTGGATGTCTGGGCTCGGACACCCCTTGAAACATTGAGTTTAGTTATTATCTGCCAATGTCAACCTTGAACTTCTCCAGGGGCATCTGGGCTGCTAGGAAGAGGGCTTAACTGCAAACAAGCAAAGCACTAAGTGTGTACGCTAAAGTATTGTTAAGTGTAGAGACTTCTCTACCACGAAGAGTACAAATGTGTCTTTCTAATACAGAATTTGAAAGTTTCCCTCCTGTCCCGCATCTCTGGGTCTGGTACCCATTAAAGTGAGATGAATGTCCAGATGAATGAGAGCAAAATGACTCCCTGCCCACACCTGTGCCTCTGCCCCAAAGAAGCCCCTTGGTGATGTGGCACTCTAACCAGTAATCTTTCGGGTTGGCCTTTCCAGACTTTCTTGGTGGATAAGGGTTACTTAGCTCTTTCCTCTTTACCTTGGCCACACCAATGGCTCTCCCCCTCTTCAGGGGCTCCTCTAGAACTGCTACAGGATCCATATGTATTCTCACCAGTTGCTTTGGTAAGCATAGCCGTTCCTCAGAATGTTAGACATGGAGTCCTCACATGTTTCAGCAATCCATGCCTGTGTCTGTATCCACCAGAGACAACATATGCTGATACCCGGATGCTCACAGCAGGGGTTCCACCAGTGGATGAACGGATAAATAAAACGTATGTTCACATAATGGAATGTTGTCAATAGAGAAAAGTGTTGATACAAAGTGCCATGTTGATGAACCTTTATGCTAACATGGATTGAAGCTGTATGCTAAGTCAAGGGATGCCAGACACAGAAGGCCATGTGTTCTAGGATTCTGCTTATAGGGAGCACACGAGTTTGAGGACCAAAGAGGCTGATGTTTGCTCAGGGCCATGGAGGTTCCAGCTGGAGGTGAGGGAAGTGACCGTTAATGGCTGTGGGGTTTGTTTCTAGGGTGACAAGAATGTTCTAGAGTGGATTGTGGTGACATTTGTACAACCTGTGACCATAGTGAACATGATTAGACTGTTTGCTTTCAATGGGCAAGTTGGAGAGCCCATGTGAACTGTGTCTGAGCAGAGCTGGGGGCATTGCCCGTATGAGGGATTTGTGTATGTGCTCAGGGTCCTGTCCTCGTCTGCTCATGGTGACCGCAAGGCACTCAACAGGAGGTTTGACAATGTCCACTCCAGGCCAGTTCTGGTTCCTGGATGCCAAAGGATTCTGCCTCAAGCCAGACTTCATCTTGTACCATTCAGAGGTTTAGGAGTTGTGGAAGGAGGGTGTGGGTAGCTGGAGGATGAGGCAAAGGGTGAGGGCTAAGTTTCAGATGAGCAAAAAAGTAATATCCAGTCAAAATATCAAGAAAAAACTCCAAAGCATAGAGAAGAGAGAGTATAGGGCAGGGCAGGTCTAGAAAATGCCGTTTCTGTCAGCTTGTCTAAAGAATTAAGTCCATGATGAGGGCCGACGGGAGCAGGTCCTCCAAAGACCGCTGGGCCCAGATGTGAACTTAAAGTCTATGATGAGAAGTCAATTAGTGATGTCTGAGCAGAGGCCTGGGCAATGTTGTAGATAGTGCTGCAGCCAGCCCATGCAGAGGATGGATCATGAGGCGTTAGCCCGAGGTACCAAGTCAGAGGTTACCCAGGGATGTCAGCAAGGACTGCATAAGGACAGCAGCAGTGGGCCCAAGGTAGGGACCGAGGCTGAGACACTCGGCCACTCTCTAGGCATGATGACAACTGCAAAAGCAAGTGTATCTGCTAAGCATTGCTCTTGGCAGCACAATTAACTATTAGGGGAAGCTCTCGCCAGTGATTGTAAGTGGTCTGTGGTTTGAAGCTGCAGCCACCGTGTTTAAAGGTAATTGAAGGGAAATCCTCAGTTGGGGTAAGAAGAGAACAGGGACCCAAAAGCCTAACACTCCACTATGTGGCTGGAGGTCAAGCCTGTTAAGCGGTGAACCCTAGACCAGGTTCCTTACCTGGCCTATGATAGGCAGCAGTCACTCTGGTCCAGGCTTGAGACTGACGCAGGCGTCTCTACGTTAAGGCACTCTGTTAGGCACTCGGGAGCTCCTGGCCCACTATTGCGCACTAACCCAGACAAGATAAACTAGTGAATCAGGTGCCAGGAAGACATGTTCTCGTGGAGAGACTTGAACCCAGCTCTCACGCTTGAGGGTCTGGCTTTACAGAAGTTCTGTGACATCTCTGTGCGTTACTTTCTCCTTTGTGAACTGGGCCTAGAGAGTCCACTAGTGAATTAGTGTATTCTAAGTGCTAATTAGTGAATTCTAAATGCTTTAAAATGACCTGTGCACTCAGGGGGCTGAGGTTGGAGGACTGTGAGTTTGAGGCCAGTCTTTTTTTTTTTTTTTTTTTTTTTCGAGACAGGGTTTCTCTGTGTAGCTTTGCGCCTTTCCTGGAACTCACTTGGTAGCCCAGGCTGGCCTCGAACTCACAGAGATCCCCCTGCCTCTGCCTCCCGAGTGCTGGGATTAAAGGCGTGCACCACCACTGCCCCGCGAGGCCAGTCTTTAACACACATACATTCGCAGCAGACCTTGCCTCAAAACAAACCAAAAACCTGGTGTATGGTCAGCTTCATGTAAATGTTGGCCATTATTGTTGTTATTATTAAAATAGAGGCAGAGCCAGGGAGCAGTGGGAGAGCCATTGCAGATTGTCTCCTGTCACCACTGGCATATAAGTAGAAACAAGATGTTCCTGAGGTTCAGCTCTGCACTTGAGTTTCGGTGCTAGACAGATACACAACTAGGCGTATTCGCCATCAAATTCAATTTGTTGACTTCAGTGACCGTTTGCTAAGCAGTTCCTGTGTGCTGTATTATACATGAGGTCATATACCAATGCCGCGGTGTGTTCTCCTATTGTGAAGGATGCCAATGATGGTCACGGTAAGCACATTAAGGGGAAAAGCCTCAGGGAATCAGAGGAAAAACAGCCCAGCCACGCACGTGGAGAGGAGGTCCTGGCAGGGCCCTGCCTGTTTTCTCGTCCCCCTTCCTGGATTTCCTTCTCCAGTGCCTGCCCTCTTTCAGTTCCACGGGGGCTTTCAATGCCCTGTCCTTTGTGCAGCTTCCTCGTTAAGGCAGGATCTGTAGGTCTGGGAGATGAGAGGGGTCTAATGTGGGAGTTGGATGCAGCCACAGTCTCCCCGAGACGGGACTCGGGACGGGGAGAGGCAGGGACACGGCTCCTGGTTTGTTACCCTTGCCTTTTTTCCTTTTGTGCCCCCACCAAGGTGACTCATGCGCTTCGCTCTGGGCAAACCCCATAGCCTTTGTCACCCTGTGGGATGTACAGATCAGGGCACGTACTCCTCCTTTCTCTGAGGAGGGAGTCTGTTTTGAGCTTGGTGGAGGCGCCAGCTCACGGTTCAGACCCGATTACTTGAAACTCTATCACAAAAGTCCTTGTGCGGAAGGAGAGGGAGTTACCTGGAGAGGGAGAGCAACAAGTTGCCAAGACTTTCAAAACACTGGGGCCCACGGGGCCTCCAAGCTGCACACTGCATCCTGCCAGATCCAGTGCTTTGTTGGGGAGAGGATTCTAAGCACCGATCATTCCCAGAGGTTATTTTAGGGGGAACATTGTTACCTCATTCCCTAGAAATATCCCTTAGCCACCAAGTCAGAACTGTGCAGAGTCTACAGAGGTCATCAACAGGTGCTGGCACCTGAGATTTGGTGTCCAGGTGGTGGTGGTGGGGTGGCGGCGGCGGTGGCGGCAGCGGTGGTGGGGGGGGGGCGCGGCAGCAGCAGCAGCGGCAGCGGTGGTGGTGGGGGGGAGGGTGTTTATAAATTTGTGGTGTTCAGATTCTCTGCTCTGGCCAGGAAATACATTCATGAAGTTGTGAAATCCTCAACACTGTCTAGTTCTAGAAGTTTCAACACCCCAGAAGGAGGCCCCATAGCTACTAAGCAGCCTCTCCTCCCAGTAACCCTAATATGCTTTCTATCATGGTGGGTTTGCTTATTCTGTGGGTTTCATCTAAATGCACTCATACGTGATGGCCTTTTTGTGAATGTCTTCTTTCTCTTAGCATAACATTTTCAAGGTTCAGCCATGTTGTAGTATGGACCAGTGCTTCATTATTTTCCATGGCTGAAAAAGTTCATTGTCTGGTAATACTATGCTTTGTTTATCCATTCATGAGTTGATGGACGTTTGGGTAGTTTCCAGCTTTTGGTGATTGGGAACAGTGCTGCTGTGAACATGGCCTCTGGCATATTACTCCAAAGCACAAGTAGTAACAATGTGCATTTCTTTTCCAATGCCATCTTGCCACACAGGAGGAATCACTGTCATATCCCTAGCTGGATGAAAGGCTTCCTGGGGCTGGAGAGATGGCTCAGAGGTTAAGAGCATTGGCAGCTTTTCCAGAGATCCTGAGTTCAATTCCCAGCAACCACATGGGGCTCACAGCCATCTATAATGGGATCTGATGCCCTCTTCTGGCATGCAGGTGTACATGCAGATGGAGCACTACATACATAAAGTAAATCTTAAAAAAGAAAGAAAGAAAGAAAGAAAGAAAGAAAGAAAGAAAGAAAGAAAGAAAGAAAGAAAGAAAGAAAGAAAAAAGAAAGGCTTTCTGAAACTAGGGGATTCTTCTGTGTCTAGAATGGCCAGTCTGTTGTCACGGGGCCGCCTGGCTTTCCATGTGGTCCTGGCTTTGGCTCTCCACCCATGCCCCACAGCTGATGTTGGGGCTACAGACTGTGTTCTACTTTTCTCTGTTGCCTTCCTGTTTTCTCATGCTTTTTAGATGTCACACTGTCATTCTTCATTCCCGATGCTCTTCTCCACACTCTCTTTACCTTTGGAGGCAGTGTCTCCAGTAGCCCAGGCTGGTCTGGAACATACTGTGTGGCCAAAGAGGACCTTGAAGTCCTGATCCTCTACCTGCCAAGTGCTGGGATTACAAGCATCTGTCGCTATACTTGGTTTCTGTCTTTGAAATGCAGCCCCTCTTTTGCTAGCCTCACCTTTTCTCATCCACAGAGTCGCACTGAGGAAATCGTAGCCTGGCACCTTAACCCAGGGGCCTCTTTTTGTTCCCATGAACTCATCTTCTTGATAATGTCCTTTGAGGTGCCAGAGTTTTAAACTTTGACATACTAATTCAATTTTTTTTTTTTTTTTTTTTTTTTTTTTTTTGGCTTGTGCCTTTGGAATCATGGAACTGGAGACTTTTTTCACCTGGACAAAATAAGTGGATGGGGAGGGAGAGTAATCTGACAAAAAGAGAACAGAGTGGCTTGAAATATTTTTATCACCTATTCAGTCCGAAGATCTCAACAGGTACCTGATTTAAATAAACTTATATGTAAATAATATATATGACCAATACCTTAGAACTACTGGTATACACTTCCTGAACTCTAACCCCTGAGCATCAGTGGGGACACTCCGTGTGTCAGATTGGTGTTTCCAAAAGTCAGTCTTAAGTGGTGAATGTAGTTATTAGATTTAATACTGTTTGGATTTAATTATGCTTTATGTCATAAGGACTAGGCAAACATGTTTGGAAAGCATGCAGTGTTTCTTTGTTCTGCTGATCACATTTCCGGAAGTCAGGACAGTCGGCCCGGATTTAGACCAATTTCTGGCAGCCCAAGGAAAGTTCGGTAGGAAGGACACTGAGCCGCACACTCACCAGCGTGGTAATACGTTCTGCATTCGCCAAGAAAGCTTGAGGCAGATTTCTCCTTTCAAATCCGCGGCTGGTTTCTAGGTATGTGCCCAACATGAAGTCAGCTATTGGTCTGTGTGACTGTCACAGATTGGCAATGCTAATGGCCATTTTATAGGTGCCAGGCACCGTGATGGCAGAGCTAATCTTCGCAAGGACCTGCAAGGTGATGCCAGAATCCTTTTTCTACCGAAAAAAACGGAGCTTTGGTTAAATAACTTCCTTAAGGCCACCCAGATTTTAGAGTCAAAGTTAGACTGACTGAATGCGAGCTCAAAGCTCATAGTCTGAACCATAAGTGGAACTAGTATCTGACGACGACTAGATCTAAAAAGTTGACCTCAGCAACATCCCCTGGTACAGTTTACAAGTCCATAACCCACTACCGTCTCTTCCGCCACCACCCCCCGGCTGCGCAGGCGCGTTGCCTCGCCCACCACTCTCCCTTCCGCCACCACGTCTCGACTGCGCAGGCGCAGCGGCTGGCGGAGGAGGGTCAGGATTGTAGCGACTAGAAGCCGCTGGTGGTGCGCCTGCGCGGGCTCACGGACCGGGCTGGCCATGGCGACGGCGGAGGACCCGCGGACGTCACCGGAGCCCGCGGAGCTGCCGGCCGCCGTACGCGCGAGCGTGGAGCGGAAGCGGCAGCGGGCGCTGATGCTGCGCCAGGCCCGGCTGGCAGCGCGGCCATACCCCGCGGCGGCGGCGGCCACCGGAGGTGGGAGCCCCTGACGGGCGCGCGCAGGGCGCCCCTCCGGCGGGTTTGTGACCGCATCCCGGGCCTTCCCGCTGCTCCTCGGTGGCCCGCTCGGGCTCGGTGTGCGGGAACAGCCATGCATGCCCGTGCCTCCGTGGTTCCAGTCCTTCCCTGTCGTGACCTCTGCCCGGCGCCTCTACGGTGCAGAGCTTTCAGCCTTTGCGAGGATTTAAACAATAAGCCCGCACCTTCTCCCAGTCCAGCGCCCAGCAGAAGCGACCCTGGCTCAATCTTTTCCCTGGGTCCTGACTTCCAGGGCCTCATTGAGTAACACATGCAGTGCCCCTCGCTTTGTCACGGCCACCCTGGAAAATGGAAAGGGCAGGGCTTGGTACCCCTATTTTACCCCTGGCAGTTGAGATCAGAAAAGAAAAGAGATTTTTCTCAGGTTAATCAGGACCAGAACGGGTCATGTGGCCCCGGGTTCATTTTGACTATACTTGCCATCTTAGGGTAGCTCCTGCTTGACTGTTTTCTCAGTTTTTAATGTCAATTGTGCTCTCGGCTGCTGGCGTTGCCCTTGAGAGTAATTCACCTGAATTATTTCTACAGAAGTAATTTACTTTTTTTTTTATCATCCTTTCACAACTTCATGTATTGTATATATTTGTATGTATAATATATATGTTTTAGCAGTATGTACTGAACAATAACGCGTATATTTTAGGGCAGTTTGTACTTTTAGACTTTCTTCTAGGGTTGCCATTGAATTTGATTTGTTGCTTCTGACCAGCAAAGCTGGATTGTAAACTAACTTAGATTTGGATCCTTCGAAGTCACTTGAAAGTCCTTATGTACCATTTTGTAATGTGAAAAGTTGTCTTCCTTTTTGTTGGTCGTAAGTGCAGATCTTGGAAGATCTGATTGATGCAGCCTCGGTGTCCCATTATCCATATGCAGATAGACACTGCTGGATAAATGTCTTACAAATATCCTTCCCCTACCCGCTGGGAATGCAAACAGCCTGGCACATGCCCAGACCGTGCAGTTCAGAACACCAGGGAAATTAGACATAGCATAAGATGGCTGGGTCTGGTGACGCAGGTCTGTCACAGCTGCTGGGGAGGCTGAGACAGAGGATTTGGTTAAGGCGCGCCTGGGCTACAGTGTTTGCAAGTTAGTGAGGCATTAGCTCTAAGAATGTAAAAGAGGTCCGTGGCTGTTGTTCAGTGGCGGGGTGCTTGCCTGGCATGCTCAAGACCTGTGTTCACTCTGGTAGTGAAAAAGAAAGGTAGCTTAACATTAGGCAAGGCTGGTCAGTCCACCTGGGGAGTTTTGTTGCCTTTGGAAGCCAGAGTTCTGCATCTTGTTTGAATGCCCCACCCCCTCATTTCACTCACCACCCTGGGGTAGGAAGGTGTTTCCACTTGAGAGATTTAGAAGCTGTGAGTTTTAACTTTTTTGTTACAGGCTTGGCAATTCTTTCCTTCAGTTTGTCGTTTGCTGTCCTCTTCCTGGTTCTGCCTCTGACTCCTCAAGGTGGTTCTTAACACCCAGGCTTCTCCTGTGTTGCTTTGCGCCTTTCCTGGAACTCACTTGGTAGTCCAGGCTGGCCTTGAACTCACAGAGATCCGCCTGGCTCTGCCTCCCGAGTGCTGGGATTAAAGGCGTGCGCCACCACCGCCCCGGCTAAAGCAACTTTTTGAAAGTGTCTAGTACAGAACCATAGAAGTAAACACTAGGTGTTACCACTGTGCTTTGTGTTGGAGGCTGCCCCCTGTCTTTCCAAGCCTCGTGTAGAAGGGAGTTAACAGCAGGGTGGGAGCCAGCTGTCCTTAGGCCTGCTTAAGGCTTGGCCCTTGGCTGCTGTCTAAAAACTTGTACTGTGGTGTGTTTCCACTGTTCCCGAACTGGTGGTTGGTTTACTGTGGCTAAATTGTATAGAATGTGATTTATGCAGTATACCTATGTAGGTCTTTGAGAGTCGGGCATTTGGGGCTGGAGTATGGTAGGGAAGGAAGCTCCCATACGTGGGACTCTTCTAGACCCCCCACTTGCCCAGTGTGTCTTTTCACTTTTCACTTTTCATTTGTATTTAAAATCCTCTGCAACTAATTGGTGCATGTAAGTGAATTATTTTCCAAGGTTGTGTGTGTGTTGTAGAAGATTAACTACAGCCAGGGAAGCAGTTTTGGGAACCCTGATTTATAGCCAGTTGATCAGAGTCCCAGGTCTGCAGTTGGCATCTGAAGTTGGGCAATCAGGGACTGAGACCTCAACCTTTTAGATCCGACTCCAGGTAGATAGTGTGAGAACGGAAGTGGAGAGCACCCAGTTGGTATTCACTGGAGGATGGTTGGGGTGTAGGTATTCGTTAACAGTGTTGAGTGGTTCGTCCTGTCCATAATTGGATCTAAACCTCAGACGTGCCCGGAGTTCATTGAGCTCCGGCTTTGGTTTGGATTTGCTGTAGCTGTAGGAGCTATCTTACTTCAAAAGCCCCATTTCCTAGTACACAGTCAAGTGAGTTCCACCAGATGCATCCCAGGGTTCTGAGTGGTCTTGGTGTCTGCTGTGCCCTGTAGTCACTGTAGAGGCTTCAGGGGGTTGTCCTTTAGTCGGAACAGTAGGTTCTTGTGGCTGTTTTACAAACATCATCTGTGAGGAAATACCATTTTACTTCTTTCTACCTCTTAGGCTTTTTTGTTTGTTTTTTGTTTTTGTTTTAATTTCTTGCCATGCTCTTCCAGCTGGGTCCATCTGGACAGTCTGAATAGAAATGGTGACACTTATCCTTTTCCTGTTTACCTACAGGGGAACACATGGGCTTGCCTGGTTCAGCTGATGACTGCCTTTATCTGCTTTCTGTAGGCATGACCAGTGTAAAAGTCCCTCCCAGAATGATTGACACCAAAGGAGGCTTCATTTTAGAAGAGGAGGAGGAAGAGGAACACAAGATTGGAAATGTTGTTCATGAACCAGGTAAAGCAGTTTTTCTGCAGAAGTATTGACACTGGTTATTTGAAGTAATATGAAGGGTTCTTTGCTCATTGATCAATGGGAAGATTGGTGGAGGATTAAAAAGTCAGAGATGGGGGGAGGAGGGAGGAACTGGAAGAGTAGAGGGAGGGGAAACTGTAATCAGGATATATTGTATGAGAAAAGAATCTACTTTCAATAACGGGAAATACAACCGTGTGTGTGTGTGTGTGTGTGTGTGTGTGTGTGTGTGTGTGTGTGTGTGTATTCATATTATCAGTTTACAATGCTAACTTTTGTGTATGTTTCCTTTTCATGGTGGAACAGATATGCTTACACATGCAGTTTCTTGGTCATATGATAATATGCTTAATTTTATGGAGCCCTACAACACAGTTTTAGGCAGATTCATAATTTCAAACTCTCATCAGTGATATAGGAGAGGGCTGGCTTCTCCACATTCTGGTGCAGTTTTCTTATCAGTCTCTGGTCCTATTATCCCCATGTGAATCAGTAGCATGCTTCAGGTTTGAATTGAGTATACTAGATGCTAATGGTGTTGGACATCCTTTCAAGTATTCATTGCCCATTTTAAATTTTGGAGCAATATGTATTCAAAACTTCCTATAATTTTAAATTAAAGATCTATCCTTTAATGCTGATACAAAACTGTAAGTTCTAGATACAGGTTTCCTGTCAGTTTCAGCATATAAATGGTTCGCTGTTCATTTTCTCTTAGCTCAGGGTGTCTTTGGATTGGCTTGATGATATTCTCTTAAGAGGACTTTGGGGCTGGAGAGATGGCTCAGAGGTTAAGAGCACTGACTGTACTTCCAGAGGTCCTGAGTTCAATTCCCAGCAACCACATGGTGGCTCACAGCCATCTACAATGAGATCTGGTGCTTTCTTCTGGCTGCAGGGTGCAGCAGGCTGCAGAACACTGTATAAATAATAAATAAATAAATCTTTAAAAAAAGAGTAATATTTAAAAAAAAGAGGATTTTGTTTGTAATATTAGCAATGTCAAATTAAATTACCTCCCCTTTGCAAAAAAGAGAGAGAAAGGAAAGAACATTTCATACTTCAAAATTCATGTACAATTTTACTCCTATTCTCTGAAGTAGACAATTTATATTCTGGGGGCTTGTTAATATGTGTGTGTGTGTATGTGTGTGTGTGTGTGTGTGTGTGTGTGTGTGTGTGTGTGTGTAATTTGTTTACTTATTTATTTTGATTTTTTGAGACAGGGTTTCTCTGTGTAGCTTTGGAGCCTGTCTTGGAACTCACACTGCAGACCAGGCTGGCCTCGAACTCACAGAGATCCGCCTGTCTCTGCCTCCCAAGCGCTGGGATTAAAGGTGTGCGCTACCACCGCAATGTATAATTTTAAATGATCCTCTTCATGATAAAATTCCTAAGGATTTTTTTCCATGTAATTCTTTATTTGTTCATCAATATGGCCTTACATTTATTAAATACATTCATTAACAACAGCAAAGTCCAACACCCAGGCATGTGGGAATGGTTACTTGGTTTACGTACATGGGGTGGACATTTGCTGTTGTTTTATCATAGGCAGGAAGAGCCCAGATACTGATGGATGGAATAAATTCTCGGAAGTATTTTCATGAGCTGGGCATGGTACTGCTTGGGAGGCTAAAGCAGGATGATGACACAGGATGAATTTAGTTTGTGACTAGCTGTCTGGTGACACACCCTTTATCCCAGCAAGCGGATCTTTGGAGCTTAGGCCAGCCTGGTTTCCATAGTGAGTTCCAGATCAGCCAGAGCAACAAAGTGAGACTCTGTCTCAAAGAAAGAGGAAAAGAGAAAGGCAGACCTGGTAGAACACAGTGAAGCCCCGTTCTAGTTCCATTTTGTCATGATCAACACCCTGACAAAAGCCACGAGGGAGGAAAGGGCTTACTTGGCTTAGCATTCCAGATGGCAGGCCACCATGGAGGGACTGGAAGGCAGGAACTAGAGCAGCTGGTCACAACACCCAAGGGAAGCGCTAAGAGACAAGTGTACCCATGCTCCCTGCTTGCCCAACACTCAGCTAGCCCTGTCTGCTTTACACAGTCCAGTCCGGGGTGCCGCCCACAATGGCTGAGTCCTTCCTACATGAATTAGAAATTAAAACAGGCCCACAGGCCAACCTGATCCTGACAGTTCCCCAGTCCAGGCTCTTGTCTCTGGTGGTTTTTAGGTTGTGGCAAGTTGACAATTAAAAACTTAGCATCACGCCGGGCAGTGGTGGTGCACGCCTTTAATCCCAGCACTCGGGAGGCAGAGCCAGGCGGATCTCTGTGAGTTTGAGGCCAGCCTGGGCTACCAAGTGAGTTCCAGGAGAGGCGCAAAGCTACACAGAGAAACCCTGTCTCGAAAAACCAAAAAAAAAAAAAAAAACTTAGCATCACAAAACCCATCTTAAAAAAAAAAAAAGAAATAGTAACAAAAAAATAAAAAGACAGTAAAAAAGAGAAGATTAAAACATGCTTATGGCATTGTTTGAGAGAAAACAGGGTCCTGGTTCTGGTGATATCGTGAAAGAATTTATTCAGGTGATAAAACAGTAGCAAAAATGAACATTTACTAGAAGAAAGGACAAAACACATGACCATCATGAGCTCTAGGCTCCTGTTGGTCAAGGGGCTGCTGGGGTCTAGTGGAATGAAGAGACTGGGCCTACATGTAGTTTTGAAATCGCTTTCTTTGGATTTTGGTTTTATTCTTGTAAACAGCTTGAGTAAGACTTTGTCTCATCCTTTATAGAGGAGAGACACCCGGAAGACCGGTGTCCACATCAGCTACAGTGGACAATGCTATATTCCCAGGATTCCGAGCTCTGATCTTTCTTGACCACTCCTGTCCGGCTGGTGACTTACACTGTCCAGTCACAGACCGGAAGCTCTGACCATGTTCGTAATTTTAGGGTGGCCGCCCTCAGCACTGCGTCTGCAGGTACAGGTAGAGCCTGCGAAGGGAGTGCCTCGGTCCTTGCTGCCTGTGGAACTAAACAACTGTGAGGTGGTCATCGTCGGTAGTTTTTTCTCTTGGGTATTTGTGTCAGGCATATGATCTATGACGAGCTGGTAGGTAGAGGAAAATATGTATTGTTTTAGTCCTACAAAAGGATAAAGAGCCCCTTCCCTTCTTTCTGCAGGGCCCGTCATGGAGTTTGATTATGTGGTCTGTGAAGAATGTGGGAAAGACTTCATGGACTCGTATCTTATGAACCACTTTGATTTGCCGACGTGTGATAGCTGCAGGTGCTTGTTTCCAGCCTTAAAACCACCGTGTGTCTCTGGGGGGCTCGAGGCTGAAGCCTTCTTTCTAGGCGACCCAACTACCGAGCCGCGGCCTCAGCAATCCAGACTCACTGAGCTGTCCCGGCTGACACTGAGTCTGCGGTCTTCCTGCCTCGGCCCTCCAGATGGCCGTCTTCTCCCTGGTCTCTGTTCCCCACCTTCCCATCTTGCAGCTCTTGATTCTCGGCTCTCTAGAGCAGCAGTTCTCAACCTGTGGGTCACAGCCCCTTTGAAGGTCGAACGACCCTTTCACAGGGGTCGCCTAAGACCATCAGAAAACCCAGATGTTTATGTTACGATTCATACCAGTAACAAAATTACAGTTATGAAGTAGCAATGAAAATAATTTTATGGCTGAGGGTCACCACAACCTAAGGAACTGCATTAAGGGGTTGTAGCGTTGGGAAGGTTGAGAACCACTGCTCTAGAGAATTTTGCTCAAAACTGTTCAAATGGTTTTTAATTCCATTTAGAGTATGTCTTCACCACGACAGCAGGTCCCCAGTTGCCTCTTACTACCTCTTCCCACTGTTTGCCATCGGTTACTGTGCGTGTGCGTACGTGCATGCTTACGTGTGTGTGTGTGTGTGTGTGTGTGTGTGTGTGTGTGTGTGTGTGTGTGTGTGTGTGCCGTCCATCCTGCCCAGCTGCTTCTATAAGTGTGGTTCTCTGCATGAAAGCTTTTTTTCTGCCCAATTCATAGGCATTTTATAAACTCTGTGGTGTTTCAAGTTCCCACTCTTTCTCTGTTTTTACCTTGTTTTTTTTTTTTTTTTGGTTTTTCAAGACGGGGTTTCTCTGTGTAGGTTTGCACCTTTCCTGGATCTCGCTCTGCAGACCAGGCTGACCTCAAACTCACAGAGATCCACCTGCCTCTGCCTCCCGAGTGCTGGGATTAAAGGCAGGTGCCACTGCCCGGCTTACCTTGGTTTTTGAGCCTCTAGAACCCAGCTATGTTTAGGAAATAGGACCTTGTGTGCTTATATTTATTTCTTACCATCTTTTTGAGGCAGGGTCTGTGTACCCCAGGCCGGCCTGGAACTTTCAATCCTCTTTCCTCAGCCTCCTGAGTGCTGGGATGATAGGCATGAATTACTACTTCTGGTGACCTTGTAATTCAATTTATATTTTCCTTCTCATGAGCCTTTTTTCATTGCATCTTCCTTATTCTTAGTTCAAGTCCTTTCTGGAATAAGAAGCTTCTTAAATTGTTATATGACTAGAGTCTGCTTGAATTTTTATGACTGATCATAAGAACCAAAGACAGGGAAGTGACGTTTGGACCTTTAATGTGCAGACCTGTAGTTGATTAAAGACTATATAATGCTCTTAACCTCTTTCCAGAGATGCTGATGACAAACACAAGCTTATAACCAAAACCGAAGCCAAGCAGGAATACCTTCTGAAAGACTGCGATCTAGAGAAGAGAGAGCCTGCGCTTCGGTTTATCGTGAAGAAGAACCCTCGTCACTCACAGTGGGGCGATATGAAGCTCTACTTAAAGTTACAGGTCTCTAGGAAGCTGGGCTCGGGGAACTGACTAGTAATTACTAACAGTGGTTTGCTCACACAGGAAAGATGATCCTTTTCTCTGTTCACATGTCCATCCTAGCCACGGCTAAGAACCACTCAGAACACAGCCCTTTCTCATCTCGCTTTTGCTGTGGTAACTTTGGCATAAACATGTTGCTAGTGGGTGATGTTAGGAGTATAATTTGGACACTAAAAAAGATTTAGAAAGGGTCAGACTTCATTTGCCTATCAGTTCCTTTATCAAACAAGAAAAAGAAATGCGCTTAAGATGATTAGCATTTCGGTTATTTCACAAACGCCTGAACCCTAACTGTATTGGGAAATACAATCTGGAATGCTCCCGAGTGCCCTGGGACTTGCACAGCTCTGAGCAGATGGCATGTGTGCCATGGCAGAGACCCACTTACTGGTGTACTCTAGAGTCCCAGGGATCCTCCTGTATCTATTCCAGAATGGCTTAAATATTGTAATTTTTGTTCCATTATAGGAAAATATAAAAAGTCATTGTTTCAAGGCTGTTTATACAGGAATATACCAGAAGATATTCTAGTATTATTAGATAATTATGTATTTATATATAATTTATATATAATATATAATAAAACTAAATATATAATTATATACAAATATATATGATCATATATTTAGATATCATTAGATATAAATATATAATATATATTTAGGATAATTAGATAATTACATATTATACTCATCTATAAACAGAATTAAGCCACACTGTAAAATAAAACATGTACTGAATTTCATTAAATATATGATTATTGATTTAAAAATTCACCACTTATCTTAGGTACTATTCAAAATAAGTAAAAATGATGCTGATTGGAGCAGCCCAGGCTTTCCTATCACTTGGTGCTTTGTCTTAATGCAAGTGCCAGCAGGCCTTATTTCAGTCTCGCGTACCGTACTCATGCACACTGGCAGGAAACAAGACTTTCATGGCATTTCCTGACCCTCTTGACCCTGTGACTGATTTTACATTTTCTTCTCATTGAGTCTTTTCTTCATTTCCATTTCTGTACTCAACTCTTTCTGGAAAAAGTGGGGCTTGAAGAGAATTCTTTAACTGTTCAAGTACATGGTTTTGCTCCTAATGTGACTTAATGGCATCCATGAGCTTGATAGTTAGGACTTTATACTGTGCATCTCTGAGTCCCAAGTAACTGAAGTATTAACTGTGCTGTAGGTTGTAAAGCGGGCTCTGGAAGTTTGGGGTAGCCAGGAAGCCCTAGAAGATGCCAAGGAAGTGAGGCAGGAAAACCGAGAAAAGATGAAGCAGAAGAAGTTTGATAAAAAAGTAAAAGGTAAGTGGCAGAATTTTCTATCACTTGGTTCATTACAGAGCAAAGGCATGGGGCCTCCTGTCTGTAGAAGGTGCTGGGATGTCGTGTCCATAGTGGGAACAATGAGCTTGAACTTCGGCCTCAGTGGGTTGGTGTGTGAGCCGTTTCTGTGTGGCTGTGGTGGCAGGGTGGGGTATCGGGATGAGGCATCAGTCAGGTCTTGAGGGTGGCCTGCCTGCAGTGTTTAAGAAAACAGTAACAAAAAATAACAAGACTCTCAGTAGCCGCCTCTCTCACTGCTTGAAACAAAAACCATGAGCTCAGTAGCTGCAGGTTTAGTAGCTAGAAGGAGTAATTGATAACCGTTAGTCTGGGCGTCTTTATTTATATGACTAAGGAAACACCCAGAAAGATGAGTGGGTGGTTACCTATGTTGGGACAGTTGTCAGGTTCTCTGACTGAGTCTTCATGTGTACAGTCATTCCTCTGTCTGTGTGTCCGTCTACATGCAGCAGTCCACTCCCTGTGGACCTGTCTCTGAATCCGTTATCCATGTGTGACTGTTTTCATGAATCCATGCACACAGCTAGTATTTACCATGTGCCAGGTTAGCACTGTGCTAACCGGGAGAAACCTGAGATAGAGTGCGGGTGTGGCAGGAGCACTCAGGGCTATAAACAAAATCCCCCAAGAAGGGTCTTCCGGAAGTCACCGGCACATGCCCTTCATGTGGTGTATGTAGAGTCCCTGCGTGGTGCACACTGTGTCTAGGTCCTGCCTGTAGGTTGGGTTATACATTTACTGGATCCATTTCAAATCAGTATTCTAGCCATGTTAATTTTTCTCAGATTTTAAAATTTAAAAGAGGTTTTACAGGGTGACTAGGATAGCCCAAATGTCTTAAAAACCAAGAAAAGGGAGTGGTGGTGCATGTCTGTAATCCTAGTAGTCAGGAGGCTGAGGCAGGAGGATTGTGAGTTGGACGCCAGCCTGGGTTATAGAGTGAGTCCTTGGCTCTCAGAAAACAAAACCAAAACTCCACGACAAAACCTGCCCCTCCAAAACCAACTAAACAGTAACAACAAAAAGCCAACCGATCAGCTAACTAACCAACTAAACGAAACCCCCCCAAAAAAGCAAAAGCAGGGCAGCACAGGCCTTCCTGGTCTCCTCTTGGGGCTGCCTCCCTCCCCCGGTTTCCGCCGTAAGCACAGGGATAGGAAAGGAAGAATGAAGTCCTGTTCCGTTTTCTACTGCCTGGTCCTGAGCGACCTTTAACGCTCCTTTCCATGTGCAGACTTAGACACTTTGAAATAAAAACGGTAGCGCTGTTGAACACAAGAAGTACATCAAGACAACCTCACTGAAACCCTTTTGCACAAGTGACTTAATTCCTGGGCAGATAGGAAGCCACTGCCACAGGAGAGCATTTCCTTGAAGTTCCCCAAGCCAGCCAGAGCTGTGCCCCAGCATTCAGATGCCAGCAGTGACCCACGGAGAAGAGTTCCTCCTCTTCAACTGGCCCTTTCTCTAATCTTTTCTAGTGTTTTCATTAGCCTCTCCTCTAACAGCAGAGCCATGGCTAATACAAGATACAGCAGTGAAGAGGCGCTTAGTGAGGAAGGGGTGTGGAAGGAGGCCTCCAGGTTATCCGCTGACTCGGTGTGTGTGTGCGCGCACTCTCTCTCTCTCGTGTGCAGTATCTGTGTGCAGTGCACACATCAGTGCATGTGCATTTGGAAGCTGGAGGCCATCTTACGCCTTTGTGATAGGGTCTCTTCACTGAACATAAGGCTGCCATTGGCTAGGCTGGCCGGCCAGTGAGCTCCCAGGGTTGCTGGAGATCCACCTGTCCTCTACACCTCTCCACATCCAGTGCTGAGGCTAGAGCAGCTATGCTCGTTTTTTCAGTGTGGTGCTGGGGAATTCAAACCCAGTTTCTCATCCTGCACTCACCCACTGGGCTGGGGGATTCTCAGATCACTGCAGTGTAAGCCATCTCCCCGCCCAAGTCCAGGGTTTCAATCCAGCTGCTCGAAATCAGCCAGACCCTGCGGACCTCAGGTGATACCGTAGTGCAGACAGTGAAGTGTAGATAAAAGAATAAGGACCAATCAGAAATCTGTATCTGCAGAGTGACAAAGAACACTGTAACTTTTCCTTAGACACTAGTTCTGTGGTCTGGTCAAGATGTCATGTAATGGTAACTCAATTCCTACAGTTTAACTAGTAAAAGACTATGAGATGCACTTAATTTCTTGCCTTTTTAATATGATGATTCTCTTAGGATATGCATATATATTAATACAGATAGAAATTTTCTACAATTTCCAAAACATGAACTCAATTGGTGTTTACTTTTTGGTCGCTGTATTAGCTCACCAGACAAACTACCATGGAGTTTCCTCATTGCTTAGTTGCAGTTGACACAGGTTCTTTTGAAGATTGATTTATTGGGTTCATCTATTTGGGTGAAGCATGCTTTTTAAGGGAATGTTTGTGCGAGTGTGTACTCTGCACATGGTGTCTACAGATAGAGTGCCTGCCATTTCCCCCTTTGCATACGAGTGTGTGAGTGCTGGGCGGCCTGCGTCATCTCCTTATCTTGGGCTGTCAGTGTGCTGAGGTCAGTGCGATGCCTCCTTTAATTGTGGCTTCTCTGATTCACTCTAGCGCTTGGTGGATATGTTCCTGTCCTGACTAGGCCACAGAGGGCTGAGTGGAGTAGACTGTAGAGTAGAAACGAGAAGCTGATTGTGCAGTTTGCTCAGAGCAGACAGGAGTCAAAGCAAGTCGAAAGGCTTTTTAGGTGGAAAGAAATTGGAACATGGTTCCTCTTGATGAACAGCGAAGCTGACATAAAGCTTTCTTCTTTATGGGAAGGTAAGCAATTCTATTTGCCTGCTCTTAACATGGTTTATGTTAGCAGCTACAGCACTGAGTCCGCTACAGAAAAAAGTGTGATGCCATCAGTACATACAAACAAACAAGGTTCCACATCTCCGAGCCAGAGCCAGACGCAGGCTTGCTGCTGCTCAGGGTAACTGGATTTCAAAGGGCGCATCGCCCAGTAGCAGACAAGAACCCTGAATTGGTTGACACACAGAACGTTTTTGGTCTGCAGGCTTTCTTGCCTTAAATGAGGTGGGACTATGGGTGTTTCTTCCATGTTACATGCTTAGTTCCAGAAGTTTTCTTCCTGAAAGGCTAGTCACCTAACCTTCATTGTTACTGTGCATGGTCCCCACCCCTGCAAGGGGCAGGTAAGGACATCCCATTAGAGGTCCCTTCTGAGTTTGTGGACACTGCACACTGGCCTGTGGATATATTTGTGACTGTTGTGGAGCTTCTCTGAGGAGTTCGATAGGTACAACTCCATCCTATTTAGTTCATGGAACACAAGCTTGTAATCTTTTTCCTCCAGGTAACAAGGGTACCCGCCCTCCCATCCAACATGTACAAGTGTTGGGTCTCCCTCAGCTAGCTCCTCTGTACGATGACCTCAGAAGCAGCACTGTGTTTCTTTGACTGCAGACTGTCTCTTTTGCAAAATGCAGTTACTAAAAACAAGCTTTGAAGTGGTATTGATTTTTCACAACAAGCATTTTGGGGAAATCTCTTTGGGTGAACATTCTAAGCAGTTTCTAAGGCTCTCAGTAGCAAGACTGGTTATTTATTCCCAGGAAAGGTCGTCTCTGGGCATCAGCCATCTACTGCCAACAGGACTAGGAGGCTGCACACGGCAGGCTACTCACCATCTGGTTCTCCAGCCTCACTCAGGCTCCAGTTTTGTGTAGCATGTGCACCCTGGTTCCTTCCCGGGTGCTAGACCTGACCTGACCCTACTTCTGTGTACTCTAACCTTTGTATCTCAGAGTCAGCAAGAGAGAGTTGATTGCTACGTTCATGAGGGTTGTGAAACCCACAAACCTTCCCTTAAAAAATTTTTTGGGGGCCAGTGAAATGGCTCAGTGGGTAAATGTGCTGGCTGCCAATCCTAATAACCTGAGTTTGGTTCCCAGAACCCATTTGGTGGAAGGAGAGAACTCACTCCTGCCAAGTTGTTCTCTGGCCTCTACACGTGCACCATCGTGGCAGCGTACGTGCACACACACACACACACAAATATTTTTCCAAGTGTTGGCATTTGGCTGTTTCTAACCTTTTGCACCTGAGTACACTTTGCTAAGCCACGAGTTACCTGTAAACACTGGGATTCTTACAAAGCTCTGTGACTCAAAGCTCATCACAATCAACAAACTTAAAAGCGATTATGATTATTAAACATTATTATATAATGTTTCCCATCTGTCGTTCCGGCACCCTCTCTCACTCCCACTTGTTCGATCCAGGAGCTGCTAGGGTGGCACCTTTAATGTCACCCTCAGCTCTTTTCTTTTGCCCCTAGCACTGTGCAGCACGCACACCAACTGTGGGACAGCACACTCCTGCCCGTGGACTGCTCAGCATCTTGTTTTGGCTCCATTAGACTCAGGCTGCAGGTCTGTGGGAGGAGCACTTCCTAGGAGATAAGGACAGACACTATGTGAGACTGCGAGTTTTTTGAGGGGGGTGACAGTCATCATTCTCCACTGAACTACTTCCTTTTTGTAATTATTACACATGACACTGGATGCAGCACCATTTTACTCAGTGGTTTTAGTATTTGGAGACGAGTCTTAGCTGAGCCAGTTTGTGTGCCTATAAATAGGAGTTGTTTTCTTTTGAAACAATGCTTTTCCTTGGGTTCTACTCTTGTATTCTTGAGACAAGGTTCATGTAGCCTAGGGTGGACTTGAACTTGTAACAGCCTCCTGCTTCTGCCTCCGAAGCACTGGGATTACAGATAACCATCACCGTGCCTGTTTGTTTTGAGGTAGGAACTCACTGTGTAGCTCTGGCTGACCTGGAACTTACTATGTAGATCAGACTGGCCTCCAATTCAAAGATCCCCCTGCCTCTGCCTGCCAGGTGCTGAGACTAAAGGCGTGTGCTACTGTGCCTGGCCCTTGGGTTTTGGTTTGTAAGTCTCTTTGGACTGACTTGTGGATTCTTCTCAGGTCATGGTATAATGCAGGCTTCTCCTGTTCATTTTGATTCTCAAACTGTCTCAGGTTTGGCCAGTGGAGCCCCCTTTAAGCTGGTGCCTGTCTTGTCCTAAAGCCCTTTTTATTTGGAAAGAATTTCAGAATATGGCTAGAATAGTGGGACAGAGGAACACGCACACGCACACAGCCTTCCCCAGACTGAGCTGTTGCTCCTGCTGCCATTTGGATCATGTGTATGCTCTCACTAAAAACACGTTTTCTGAACCACGTAAGAATATGTTGCATAATCTCTACCCTGTATATGTTTAGTTTCCTAACATTTTCTTTATTAGTGTGACATTAGCAAACCTAGTATTTAGATTTTAATCTGAACTGTTGTGTTCTACTTCTGCTCACTAACGGAACAGTATTTTAATGTTCCCCTTCTAGAGAGGACTTGGTGTAGGCTAACACTTTAGGCATTACACAGGTCTTCCTTCCTAACCTGATTTTCACCACCCTTGCCCTTTATGCCACGGACATTGTTGAAATTTGTTCCCTTCTTCCATGTGCTGTTTTGGGGAGTCAGGCTTTTCACTTTCGTGGATTTTCTGCCAATGCAGAAATAAGTGCAGGCTAAGTATCTCAGCAGGTGCTAACCCTTCCAGGGCCTCGCGTCTGGAAGATACACAGTGCCATCTGCTCTCAGTGGTAATGACTTGGTTTTTATTCAGTAAGCCAAAAGAAACAGACTATGCAAACCACCCCTCCCAACCCCAGTTCAGTAACCGTCCACTGGCGGCGTTGCTGGAACCAGTGCTCCTGTGATGGTTCAGGGAACAGCTTGTAGCTCTAGCTCAGCATTCTACAGCACTGTTAGTGGTAAGGCCTCAGACTTTCCAGTGTTGTTCATTTGTCTTTAACTTGGAGCTCAGATTTGGTCCATTGGGGATCTTACCATATATGGGCTGCCGTCTATGCCCTTGACAAGCTGAACATGCACAAAGCATGTTTGTCTGTTCTTGTGTGTAAGAAAACCCTGAGTGCATACTGATATAGCCCGTTTTAACCCTCCAAATTTCAGGGCTCATTCTATGCAGGGAGGAACCTGAGAACTTGGCTGCTTAATAGAAAGGAAGTGATGCATCTTCCATCATTGCACTTCCTGTCCTGGTGGCTCCCTAGCCCTGAGCATGCCTGCTCCACTCCCTGTCCTTAGGCTTTGGACCGCTTGTTTGGAAAAGGAGAGAAGGGCAAAGAAAAGCCAAACTTAACAGCAGAGCGGGTTAGACATCTCTAATCTGAAAATCTAAAGTGCTCCAAAAAGAAATACTGCCAGCAAGGAAACCCCATGCCCAGGCACTAGAAATACATAAGGTACATCAAGCTATATGTTTTGTTAAGACTCGGGTCCCATCAGACATATTCTGTATATGCAAATTTTCAAAATCTAAAAATATCCACCAATCACTTTCAAGACTTGGCTACGCGATGCCCAGCCTGTGCTTCCACCTCTACCAGGAATGTCTATGAGAAGCACTACAGATCCAGCTTTATGCTAGTGTAGTTAAATAGCTCGTCACAAAAGTGACAAAATGTCAGTCTTCAGTCATGGCTGAAAAGATAGTTTTTCACGTACGTAGTACATATGAGAAGAAAATAATTCTTACCTCTTCCTCAAGTACATATAATATTCAAATCTGGCAGAGAAGGTAGCTTAGTCTGATTGTACTGCAGCCTAATTTTGAGGGACTTTTCACCATGGGGAAGTCAAGGAGAGTGGTAGGCTGTCTTCCCCCACCCAGGCTGAGAAGCAGGAACCCACAGAGGAGACGCCTGCTGCCCCTCTGCAGACAAGAGGCACACTGACTCACTCAGGTAGCAGAGAGCAGATACTTCACGATATAAAATGACCAAGATTAGAGTTTAGATGACTGACCTTCCTAGCAGATGCTGCACACACTGAACCTTGTAAATCTCAAAGTGATGAAAAGGCAGCATGACCCAGGGGAGAATGCTGCCCAGGGCCAGAATGATCCCAGGGACCTAAGCTGGACTGTACCCCTGCTCATCAGCCCATTGACCTTGGGCAGTCTGTGCCTTCTGCCTTGGTTTGTCCATCTGTAAAACTGGGATGCAGCTCTCTGTAATTACCCAAGAGATGTAAAGTAAATGCATCTTAAGTGCTTAGCCCAGTGTCCAGTATGTCACCCTGTCTTGCTGTTACCCGTGATATTATGATTGGAAACAAAGATTCAAGTAGTGCTATGATATTAGTTACAAACCATCTCAAGGAAAACCAGCAACCCCTGGAATCTGAAGTTACTGGTTGTGAGCCAACTGGCATGGGTGCTAGGAATCAACCTCAAGTCCTCTGGAAGGGCAATATGAGCTCCTAACCACTGAGCCACCTCTCCAGCCCCTGGCAGTCTGTTTTTAAAAACAACAGTGTTGGTATGGAAATGTAGCTCAGTTGACTGAGTAGCATGCACACGGCCAGGGTCTGATCCCCAGCACCACATAAACCAGATGTGGTTCTCATGCCTGAACAGCTGGGAGTGGAGGCAGGAGTGGCCATAGGCTACATGGCCTGTATGCGACTGTCTCAACAGAAGCAACGACAGTGCTGTCATTTTATAAAACAGACATGAGGTCACTGCACGAGCAGGTTCTCTAAGATGGAAACACATCAGCCTACATTAGTCTTGGCTTTCTGGTTTTCCTGTAAGCAGAACTTGACGACTACAGGAGCTCCTGACTGAAAACCTTGGGCTCTGGGCCATTCCCATCCTTTGCTTACCTCAGCTGACTTTGCTGCTCTGGCATCCTGTTTTCTGTCAGATGCCTCCCCCTCAGCACCCCCATTCTGTTGTTTTTTGTGGCTACTTCTAACTAACCCACACAGCCACCTCTGCCAACTACTGCTCAATAATGAAACGAGCAATTGCAGACTCCGCGGGCCTGCCACGTTTGTGGAACCAACTGTTAGAAAGGAAGCCATTATGTACATCACACACAAATACCAATGAGAGCCTTGTTGGATCTATTTTGTATTCAGCTGAAAACCTTTTTTTTCCCCCTAGAATTGCGGAGAGCAGTAAGAAGCAGTGTGTGGAAAAGAGAAACAGCTGCTCACCAACATGAGTATGGACCAGAGGAAAACTTAGAAGATGACATGTACCGCAAGACTTGTACCTTGTGTGGCCATGAACTGACATATGAAAAAATGTGACTTTTAAAAACAAATTTATAGCCGGGCGGTGGTGGCGCACGCCTTTAATCCCAGCACTCGGGAGGCAGAGCCAGGCGGATCTCTGTGAGTTCGAGGCCAGCCTGGACTACCAAGTGAGTTCCAGGAAAGGCGCAAAGCTACACAGAGAAACCCTGTCTCGAAAAACCAAAAAAAAAAAACAAAAAAAAAAAAAACAAATTTATATTCAAATAAAGGCTTTGTTCAAATGTACCACAGTGTAGTCTCCACAGAAACAACACTTACACAACAATGTTTTAGAAATGATTGTGCTTAAGGTCTGGCTGAGGGCACAATGTTGCATTTGTGGGAGCCCAGAGGTATAGCAGGCCATTTACTAACTAAAGAAAAACCCTCAGGTAATGGATATGCTTAGAGAAAAAAAGGTACACATATACACCTGTACATACATGCACACCCTCCCACCCCCGTGTGCCCCTTTCCTTTGCACACACAGAAGTGAAAATAAAAGTGACTACAGGCTAGAGCTACTCCATGGGAAGAGGGACAGGTACAGGCTAGAGCTACTCCATGGGAAGAGGGACAGGTACAGGCTAGAGCTACCCCATGGGAAGAGGGACAGGTACAGGCTAGAGCTACTCCATGGGAAAAGGGACAGGTACAGGCTAGAGCTACTCCATGGGAAAAGGGACAGGTACAGGCTAGAGCTACTCCATGGGAAGAGGGACAGGTACAGGCTAGAGCTACCCCATGGGAAGAGGGACAGGTACAGGCTAGAGCTTCTCCATGGGAAAAGGGACAGGTACAGGCTAGAGCTACTCCATGGGAAAAGGGACAGGTACAGGCTAGAGCTACTCCATGGGAAAAGGGACAGGTACAGGCGTGTAGCTTGGCATAGGAGGAAGCACGTTCAGGTGAAGTTGGTGGAATTGAACTTAGCTCAAGAAGCCAGTAGGTCCGATGATGTAAACTGCTGTAGCTGTTTCCAGCAGTGGCAACAGTGAGCTGTCACTACAGAAACAAGCTCCCAGTCACAGCAGGAACCAGCAGTTCAAGACCTTCATGCAGCAATTGGAAATGCTGGGTCAGAAGGGAAAGGCTACTTTCAGAGCTGAGTATCCGACTGTTCCATCCAAAGCATTCACCTTATCAGCGGGGTGCTCTTACCTGCCTTACAAGCTCTCACCTAGCCCAGGAGAGGTAACTACTTGCTTCCATGCTTGTTTACCAGTTCTGAGGCGGGAAGTGACAGTTGCAAACATTACCTCTCCATAGCTATTTGCATCAGTTCAGCTACCCAGACTTGTCTTCAGTCTGGTCAAAAATATTACCCAAAAGTACCATTAATACAGCTATCAGAAGCAACCATTATACATGAAGAAAGGACCAAGAGAAAGAGTAGGTGGTGGTGGCACACACTTTTAATCCCAGCACTCAGGAGGCAGAGGCAGGCCGATTTCTGTTGAGTTCAAAACCAGCCTGGTCTAAGAGTGAGTTCTAGGACAGCCAGGGCTACACAGTCTTGAAGAACCAAATAAATAAGAAATCAAGCAAAAGAATACATACAAATTTCTCTAGAATGTAGCTCAAGTAGAACTAGCTGAGGTCAAAAGCTGCTTTAGGGAGAGAAGGCATTCCTAACTAATAATTACTGTTTAAGCATCAGCAAGGAGGCATACTCTAAGAACTATTTAGCCAAGGGCCATACATCATTTTGACAAAAACCCAACTTGAGATAAAGTGGGCACTTCCATCCCTCAGATGCACTAGGAAGCTTGTGCAGCTCACGCTTTAGATCAACAGTGCACATTAGACTTGTAGGAAGGCCAAACAAAAAGCAAGTCAACCCCAGATAAACATGGGACCATCATTACTGTTGTTTAGAAATACTCAGTAGAGATGTGCTGGGGATGTCTTTCTGTATGCTGTGAATGTGTTGCTCTGACTGATAAATAAAACGCTGATTGGCCAGTAGACAGGCAGGAGGTATAGTATAGGCGGGATAAGCAGAGAGGAGAATTCTGGGAAGTGGAAGGCTGAGTCAGGAGACGCTGCTGCCATGAAAAGTAAGATGTAAAGTATCAGTGGCAACTTATAGATTAATAGACATGGGTTAATTTAAGATATAAGAACTAGATAGCAAGAAGCCTGCCATGGCCATACAGTTTATAAGTAATAAAAGTCGCTGTGTGTTTACTTGGGTCTGAGTGGCTGCGGGCCCCTGTGGGACTGGAGAAATCTCCAGCTACAGAGATGTTCTGTGTGGTTTTCAAGGCAAGCATTTCACATGTGCTATGCTAAATGTTACAGCTCAGTAAAAACAGATCCTGGATGGGAAACCAGACTTCCTCCAGCAGAGAGAAGTTTCTACCTGATGACAAGAGTAACTTGAGGTTCAGGCTGCTGTTAAGTATTACTGCATTGTGGAGAGATAAGGTGCTCCTGAGACACATGGATTTAACTTTCTGGCTGTGGACTTCAGACAAGTTTTCCTGGGATTTGCTTCTATCTGTGAAGTGGGCACAGTCATGTGTCAGAAATCTGCTGGAAAGATTTAATATGCTGAATTGGGTAACCAGCAGGTAGCAGCCAATAGTTAACATTCACTGTCAAGGCCAACACAGTGAGATCTGATTGGCTGTATGCTTCTCTTCTCTGGCTACATCAAGGTTAATCCTGGGGTCCAGATATCACTGGTAGCCCAGGCTGGCAAAGGCATTTCACACCTTTCACTTTTAGGAATGATATAGTTCTTAGGGAAGAAACATGTCCACCTTGACAAAAGCCTGTTAAAGAGCACCAGCACAACATCACAGGATTTGTGAGGTGTGGCATGCAGTGACATGCCACCCCGTCTATGGAACACAACCAGAAGGGAGCAGCTGTGTTCTGCTTTTGCATCTTTTCTTCTGTGAGATACAACTCTGTCCAGTCTTGCAGCCGACAGAGCAGGGCATATGAACAGTTTCTAGAAACAACCACCACACAGGAGGATCCAGAAGGGCAGGAGAGCACAAGCTCCTCTAGCTGTAGAGCAAGGATAACCGAACTCCACTGTGCCTCAGGAGAGGATACAGCTACCAATGCCTTCAATAGTTAATTCTTTACCTGCTGGAGGACCAGAGCCATTTTAAATAATTACAGCATTAGCTGTGTTCAAAGGGAAGGAGGAACAGCTTAAATAAAGATATTTAGCCAATAACCCAGGTTTTGTCTTTCTGAAGTACCTGCCATCTAACCTTGATCTACTGAATTTAAATGATTAGATGATCCTCCTGCTTTAAATATGGTACTTAAAAAACCTAGGAATTCCCATTATTAAGAAATTATATTCTATAGCCACTAAAATGTATGGTAATTAAAGACTCATATATCCAGACAACTGTAATGTATACTTACTAGGATGTAACATGTACAAAGAGATAACAAATATACAAAATTACTACCAGTAATTATATCATTATTAGCAGATTTTTCTAAGGTTTAATAGAAGTTTAAAAATCTCAGAAATTTGGAATGTCAGATAATGCATTATTTTACAAAACACTCATTTCCCTTAAGCCTCAATAGGCTCAGGGATCAATTATCTTCCCAGGACCCACAGAGACAAGCCCTAAGCCACACTAAACTCCAAGTCCACCTCAGCTCAGTTATCGCCAGCTGCACATCAGTAGGTGACATTACAGGATCTTGGGCAAATCCTTAGAGGTGCAGGGCATGACCAGAGCTTTTCAACAATGGCTGCCAAACTTGCAGGTAGAAAAACTGCTGCACCACCATTGTACCTTGAGATCACAGTTTAAAGAATCCTGGGTGACTTCTAGTTAGACAAATTTGAGGGCTAGTACTAATAACTTTCTATACAAACAAGTAGTGTCATAAGATGGCTACTTGAAAACATTTGCAAGAAATAGCTTCGGATAGAGGCTAGTACACCTTCAGTAAGAAAAGAGACTAAGATAATAAATCATGAAATACCAAAGCTTAAAAAACATAACTTCAGTTTATTCCAGCCATGTTACCCAGGAGCAGAGAAAAGCTAGGCTCCCTGGTGATAGATAGTCTGTTGGTTGTATCTACTACTTTGCAAGCCTGAGCTTGCATTTCACACACCTCAAACCTGTTGTTTTGTGCCCTAAGGAGAAAAAGTATCAAATTCATCACAGGGAAGTTGTGTCTCACATATGTACAACGCTACAGTCACCATAACATCGCTGTCATCAAGCAATACTTGCCCTTCAGGGCAACTAAGGGTAATGTCATACTCCTCGCTCTCCTCCCCATTTCCTTTAGGAAGTGAAAGGCTACTACAAGAAAGCAAACATTCAAACCATCAAAAATAAGACAAATTATTTCAAGATAATAAAAAGGGAAGAAACATGATTATTAGGCCTGCAGAGCACAGAACTGCTGGAACACAGCCAGGATGTGAGGGTCTAACTCGGCAGTAAAAAGCAGGTTCTCCAGGGTCACCATGTACTGCTGGATTATCTGGTGATGCTGCGGACACAGAAAAGAGGCTTGGGTCAGGAAACCAAATGCAGAAACCGTGCACAACATTTCCCTCATAGCCCACCTACGCTGAGGAAGGACAAGAAGTAGGGGAAAGTAGTGCACGCTGACACATCTCTGAGAAGCCCCAGCATTAAGAGACCATGCGGGGAAAGGGGTGGAGGAACATACAATGATGTAAACCCAAACCCAGCTCTTAACAGCCTTCATAGGAATGGGATCCTTGATGCAAGGCACGGCGGGTCTATACCACAGACAGTTTCAGAGGGCGTCCCAAAAGTCAGGACCCAGTACTTTACAGCTTTTTGAAAATCAGCCTGGGGCTAGAGAGATGGCTCAGCGGTTAAGGGCACTGACTGCTCTTCCAGAGGACCTGGGTTCAATTCCCAGCACCCATATGGCAGCTCACAACTGTCTGTAACTCCAAGATCTGAGAGCCTCACATAGACACATGTGCAGACAACACCAATGCA